CAGACTCATGGGTTCTTCGAGCATTATCAGAAGGACTCTCCATTTGTTTCCTTTTAATTCCTCCCCTATCACCTTTTCTTGTTCCTTTTTCCCTTCTGAGGGATCCTCTTTCCAGCCAGTGTCTTTTTCTGCAGAAGTTGGATGTTCTCCTCATAGATGCTATAGAACCAGTAGTTCCTATTCTTCCAGGTTTCTCTTCCCATCTTTTTATGGTCCATAAGAAGACCAGGGATTGGTGTCCTGTTATAGATCTTTCCAGTCTAACCTACTATATGTAAATACCTTCATTCACCATAGGGTTTTGCCTGTCTCTTCAATGGGCTTTTACTCCTGGTCTTTGTATGATGAATATTGACGTCTGATGCTTACCTTCATATCCCCATTTCCCTTGCATCTCATTGTTATCTTTGCTTTGTTCACTGGGAATGTGTATATCATTTTCAGGCTCTCCTTTTGGGGTGGCATTGCCCTCCTATGTTTTTTTATCAAATGATCATAGCCTTTGCTTGACTTCTTCATTCGCATGGACTTCATTCCCATCACTCCATGGATTACTGGCTCTTTCTAGCTCCTTTGTCTTTGGCTTCTTCCATCAACACATAATTTCTCCTCAGGAAAGCTTCTCACATGGGTTGGCTGGTCAAGGTGGAGAAGTCCCTTCTAACACTGACTCAGTACCTTTTCATCTGGGGTATTCTTCAATTCTCATCTCAGTCAAGCCCTTTGAATGCATTCCATGTAGCTTCTGAATTGAAAGTCTCAGTTCTTACCTATTCTATCTGCATGAGAGGTTCTTTCTCTTTTATGGACTTCATTTTCCTTGGAGGCTCTTATTCCCCTTAACTGGGCTCATATGAGGTCTCTTCTGTGGGTACTTCAAGATCAATGGAACCTCACCAAAGATTCTATGGATTACCCAGTTCCACTACCTCCTTTCCTTTAAACCAATTTTGCCAGGTGGCTGGACAGAGACAACACAACAGCTGGTGTCTCTCTTCCTCCTCCATGACCAGAGGTGCATCTTTTTACAAATGCTTCTCTGTCAGGTGATGCCCAAGAGATCTTGGGCCATTGGTCATTAGTCAAGTTAACTTTCTATGTCAATCTTTTGTAACTTTTGGCAGTTTGTCATGCAATGGCACATTTTCTACCAGCATTAAAAGGCAAGTTGTCTCTTACATTACTTGGCTAGTGGCACCTGATCACATTCACTGTGTTTTCACACATAAGACATGTTGTTCTGGCCCACAGCCATTGGATTCATTTGCTGGCCTGTCATATACTGAATGCTTTCAATCTTTTCACAGATCATTTATCCTGTCCTGACAAGATTCTCCTCACGGAATATTCCCTTGACCCTCAAAAGTTTTCAAATGGCTGCTGTGTTTTCATTGGGTACTCCATGGCTGGACATTTTTGCCACCCTCTTTAATACCAAACTACCTTGTTTTGGTCCCCTTTTCCTCCTCCTTCAGCTTTGATGATAGCTGCCCTCAGTCAAGATTGGATGGGCTTCTATATTTATGCCTATCACCCATCCATCTTCTTCCCAGGGTACTATTCATTATTCAAATCACTCTGTATTGGGTCCTTCTGGCGGCTTCATTCTGGCCAGCTCAACCTTGGTTCACACCACTTCTCCCTCATCAATTGTCACCACCATTACCTCATCCTCTCTCCCCTTCCCTTCTTTATCAACCTCATTCAGTGGTGCTTCATCCCTCCATCCCCACACTCCAACTTCACCTATAGCTTTTGTCCAGTCCATAATTGAGAGAGTTTCCAGACTTTCCATACAGGTAGCATCTTGTTCTTTCTGTTTCGACCATTGCTGATTATAGAGCTGCATTATCCTCTACCTTTCGTTTTTCCTATTTCTGCCACGTCTTTTCCTCTCCTGTTATTTCCCTCTTGTTTTGATCCTTTTGTCTCCATCTTCTGCTTTAACCCACACCCTTACCAAACTGGGATTTTATTGTTGTACTCTATGCCCTATTCTTCCCTCCATTTGAACCATTAGCTTCCTGTCTCATATACTACCTATTCTTAAAAACGTTTTTCCTCCTCTTGTTGGAATTCAAATCATTGGCTTCCTGTTCCTTCTATCACATATCCTTAAAAAACTTTTTCCTCCTTTTGTTGACCTGTGGATGTCGATGGTTGGGTGTATTCATCCTCAATGTCTCTCGCATCCTTTACCACAAAACTTGTGTTCTCCTTTATTCTGATCGAACCTTCCTCTCTAAAACCTCTGCTGCTCTTGAAGGTAATGTTACCTTCACTTCTATTTCCCTTCCTTAGATTTCCCATCTATATTTGAATACTAATCCAGACCACCTCCTGTGTCTAGTCAGGGTGATATGTGGCTTGCAAACTCTCTTCTATGGCTCCCATTCCCGATTGTTTATATACTGGAATCATTCAGTTTCCTATGACCTTTCTCTTATTACCTGACTGGCTGAGTTCCTTACTTTACACTTATGGACTAACATGAGTAAAGCAGAAAGGGATTGCTGCCCATCTCTGCTCTCCCCTTGGTTATTATATATCAATCGAGTATGGTCTACTTTTCAAATTAAGGTTTCATGATCACCCATTGCACTATCTCTGGTAGTGGTGCATTCCTCTGGATTATGCAATGCATTCCCCTCTTTCTTCTAGCTGATGAGGTGGTGATCCTTGGAGGCTTCCTCCTGGATGTACTCAATTCCACTCAGTTGAGAGTAGGATGGTAGTGTTCTGCCAGTGTATGTGGCATGACTATCCTTCTACTATGGGTCTTATGTGCTATACCTGATGACATTTAGTGTAGATTGGATTTTTCTGTCACATTTATATGTTATGCATTTCACCCATCTGACTGGAACCCTCCTTTCTACTGCCACCTGGATGTTGGTTATTGGATAACTGGTGTTGGTTAGAACCAGACCAATCAACATAAGTCCTCACATGTGAGTGGCCTGGGACTGGATGATACATTCACAATGCCACATGGTTTTGGACTGAAGTTGACCCTCTACATTACATTTCCACCTTCCTACCTTCATCCAGATCTCAGTTCCCTTGAGTTACAGGTGTTGATCATGTTGAATATGCATACATGGTGACTTGGGTCCTTGGAGTGGAATTCTTTTTTCCCTTCTGGTTCCTGGGTCTGAGGTGAATGGTAGAGAACCCTCCTCCTACCATGGACCTATTGATTCCAGCTTATTACCACTGGTTTTGGACTGGAGTTGACTTTCCACTTATGATCTGATGCAACTTAGCCACTTTGCACCACATGCACTTTTTTCTTTTCGGATGTGCCTCTTTACCACCCATTTCTTGACACGTTCATTCATCAAGGACAAAGAGTACACCTGGTTCAGATGTGGTGCAGTCTTCCAGGAGTGTGTTTCATGTACATTGAGATGGTACACTCCTAGGGTACTCTTCAGATGCTTTTTGAAGGAGACTCTTTTAGATAACTTTCACACTGGTTCCGCTACCTACCTATATTGTGATTGGAGGTAAGTCATTGTATCATAAGTTCATATCTTCCTGCACTGAAAATATATTTTCAATAGATAGTTACCTCTTCTCACACTTCTCATCCATCCTTCCCACTTCCATTGTGTTTTTCATGCCTAATCTCAAAGTGAAGGTTGGGTTCTACAACACTAGGAGAGTGTGTCACACTCCTATTGGTGGTGGGTTGTCACATGCTACAATGCAGCTATACCATATGGAAAACATTTGGAGGTAGGTTGGAGCATAAAGGCTAGTGGCAAGCAAAAATGTGAACATATAGAGGACAGTACAAATCAAGAAAAGCTATTTTGTGAACAGAGATAAGTATATATCAGAAATATATTTTCAGTTTAAGAAAATATTAATTTTTGTTAGAGTCCTAACTTGTGAACTTTAGTATGTTTGATTTTAGTGACATGTAGTAAAAAGTGTTTAAGAATTCATGTTTATGATAATTTCAAATTTGAAGAAAAATAATTATAAACCATAGTATATCTTAAAAGAATAAACTAGCTTTAAAATACCGAAAGTAATGTTTACTCTTGTTGTTCTAGAGCTGTTTTAACTCGATTTATGTAGCTACATCTTAAAAATGAATTTTCAAAATAATATACTCTACTTAACATTAATCTCGTGCTTCACTTCACTGGACTTTCTATAGATTTAGTAAACATATGAGACATAGTTTTATTTACCTTATAACTTATAGGTTAATTGTCATGGTTTTTATCTTAATTTGTAAGTAGCTCTATAATACCCTTCAGTGATTTTTGACATCATACAAAAATACTCATTCCTATGAGTATATGCATGTCTGTTTAGTTGATACTAGTTTCAATTTGTTATTATAATACATCAGATATCTTGAGAAAATAAAAATTTAACTTTTATATGGTATCGTGTTGATAGATTGATTGTATGCTTTTGGAATACGTATTAAGTAAAATAAATGTTAACAGTAAATATTAGTTGCATTTATACAGATGTATTATGATTTAGGTTCATATATTCTTTTGCTCTTTAAATTTTAGGTAGATGAATTAAATAAAGTTGAACGAGTCTCTAAGATTGTTGAAAGAATGGTCAATCAGAATACATATGATGAGATTACACAGGGTAAGTCTATGCTATTGTTATTTTTATAATTGTGATAGTCTGTGAAAGTGATCATCCTGGCAATGCCAAAGAACATAAAGGAACAAAAGACAAAATAACAGAAATGAAGGGTTTGATCTAAATGGTCAGTATTTAACCACAAAATCTATTTAAGTAAAGAATACAAACATACTTTATTTACAAGATAGAAAACTAGTGTAAACTTACACAACTTATTTTGCAGACCTAATCTAAACTCACAGAAATTGCACTATATTTGAATTCTTTAGTAAATGGGAGGCAATAATGTCTCTTCTAACAATGGCAATAATCATGACTTCTTCATTTTCTTCATTCAACACCATTACACATTCTTACAGCAGGTCTTGTCAATTTCAAAGCAAAAGCTAATTTCTCTGGAAGTGCAAAAACTACTCACAATCCACATTTTCTCTGTAGCTAGCCAGTCATAAATCAGATTGCAAGAATCTACTAATATCTGTAAAGCAGCACATAATATGATTATACCATAAAATATTAGATAGCTTACATGAAAATAACACCTAAAAAGATGAATTTACCTCTCTCACAAGATTAGCAATTCTCGTTCAGTGCTGCCCTCCATATGCAAAATTTTTCTTTATGCATGCTACAAGCCTTCTGCTCCTCCCCTGTTGGAATTACTATATTGCAACATGTCTCTCATCTAATTCATCATGCGTTCATCTCTTAACCAATAGTAGCATGACATGCTCAGTGTGATGCATGTGACTTTCTGTACACTCCTTTACCAAACCTTCACTTCTCATTTGGCAGCGTTTGAGTTAAGACGTACTATTTTGTGTGCCTAGTGCTTCCAGTGTGACAAAAACGAATTTTTTTCACACTAAGTAGTTCCTTTTGACTTTATTTTATACCAATTCCTTTTTGTCGTTCTATTTCTGCACTTGACTTTTGTGAACCTTTTCTTGTGCTATGAATTCTGAAGTTCGTGTTACCACTTTGGTGGTCATACCAACAACCAGTGTTCTTTCTCAGACCTTGGTTGCAGGTGACCCAACGGTGGATCTCTCTGCTTTTATACGTCAGGAGATTAAGCACTACATGAGTCAACCTTTGTCCCCTGGCATTGCCCAGGCTCCTCCTGAGTCAGCTGATCTTGTTCAGAATAACAAGGATTTTGATCATCTTTTCCCTCCTCATACGTTTGCTGTTCCTTCCCATTTACAGTCTGTAGAATCACCTAGGACTAATTCTGTCTTTACGGATTTTGTGTGTCAGGTTTATGATGTTTTGTCCCTTTCTTCTATCTCTTATTCCCCACGTCCTTCCTTGTTACATGAGCAAGCTTCCCAACCATTTTTGCATTTTCCTCCTTCTCATGATATTTGGGTACATGTGCAACAATCATCATATGTCCTCACACAAGTTGATTCCATGCAGTTGACATCCTTTTTGTACCGGCTGTCAATTTCCAGGTCAATAGATCAGCGATGATCCTCGTGTCATACCCAGGAATTGGTACAGGTTTTAATCTCTGATTCTTGGGTTTGAGGTGAATAGGTATGATCCTCATCCTACCCTCGCATGGATGTCGGTACCCCATGAGGAGGTTTTGGATGTAGTTGACTTACCGAGTATATCCTGCCACACCCTAACCGCTTACACATTCCACACATGGGTGAAGAGTATACCTGGCCCCCTTCTGATCCTCAGATCTATCTCTCTAATTGTCAGAGGTATCCATCAGATGATTTCGAGAGTACTTCTTTCGTTCCCTCTCACCTTCCCTCCTCCTTCTCAATGTGGGATTTTAGGTAATATTGTGAGTGGAGGTAAGTACCATATTGGAAGCTATAATTTTCCTATACTGAAAATGTATTTCTGATAGGTACTTACCTTTATGGGATAGTAAGATATGTATTATTTGTATATTACAACTCTCTTCTCCCTTATCTTAGCCCTGTCTTCAAGGTAAGTAAATTTAATACCAATTTATAATTGATGGAGTGATGGTGGGATCCAGCAAAATTGCATTCATATCACAACCTTCTATTTTGACTGAACACTGGTGTCACGGAACAACATGGCACAAGATGCACAGAATGAAACCCGTTTAAAAACAAAATATGTTTGGAATATAAAATATACCCCTTTAGAAACCTTAATGGCACCTTGAAGTGAAAATTTACAAATTGATGCAATATGCTATACATAATACTAGATAAAACACTCTCTACCAGATTTAACCTCAGTTGACACTCACACCGGTTTTTGTTTGTTACAGGTGAGACATGCAAACTGAGGTTAAATCTGGTAAACAGTCACATTCCAGACATGAATGTCAGCAATAGGGGTGATCTAGTATGAAGGAAGTCACAGGAATTCGATGGGAAGGCACCATGGGAAGCATATAGAGCACAATTTGAGCTCCTGGCAGAAATGAATGGATGGACAGAGGAGAAAAAAGCAGTATATCTGGCAACGAGCTTGAAGGGACAACCACTGGAAATACTCGGACAGTTGTCAGCAGACGACAGACACAACTATAGAGCACTGATAGTGGCTCTAGAACTCAGGTACGGAACCCAAAATCAGTCTGAAGTCTACAGGGCTAGGTTTATGACGAGAGTCCGTGCTAAAGGGGAGAGCCTGCAAGAGCTGGCACAGGACTTGGAAAGTATGGCACACAAGGCCTACCCAACTGCACCACCCGATCTCCTCAAGTTGTTGCTGAGCGATCAGTTCATAGACTCCTTGGACAGTCCACAACTAAAGGTACAAGTGAAGCAAGTACACCTCTCTACTATGCAGGATGCAATGGCCAGAGCTCTTGAATTTGTATCCTACGTTAAGACCAGCACAGAGGTACCAAGGTTGGTAAAGTCGTCAGGATTCAAGGCCATAAAAGGGTCAGAGAGGTTTGAGGGACTTTGGTGGCACTGTAATAAACCTGGTCACAAGAGAGCTCAATGCTGGCAACTTCAACACAGGGGAGATGCCACAGCAGGAAATGCTGCTACCCAGAAAGGTTGTTGGAACTGTGGAAAACAAGAACATATGAGGAGCCAGTGTAAGAAGAATATTACCAATGAGTCAGCCTTGGGGAAACCAGTAGTGGTTGGTGTTGA